TTTTTTCTTTTTTGTTTTTTTTTAGTTTTTTTCTTAATGAGAGGGTAGAAGCGGCAGCCATGATGGCACAACGCCCCGGTGCCGATCCCGCCCCAAGGGCCCTTTGCATTGGACATCCCCTGCCCCGCCCCCCATGCGGCCAGGGAAGCATGAACGGCTGTTCCGCCTTCCCTGAACGGGCCATTCCCTGTCCACAGGGGAAGGATAGATCGATCAATAAGGCTTAGAGGGAAATTATATCATAATGAGGAGGACAGTGCCCCCCCAGTTCCTTTTCCTACTACTGAGGTCAACCGACAGTTTTTTATAAGATGGCAATGCTAAGGAAAATGGGCGAACATAGCCCTTGTACTCGAGCATACACACTGGTGATTATCTTGAAGACGGTGGCAGGGGAAAGTGTTGAGAAGAGCACTGCCAGGGGATCTGTGTGTGTGGGTGGGTGTTTGTTTCCGTACATGTTTAATATGTGGGGTTGCCTGTGTGTGTGATCTATTTTTCTAATTAATTAATTAATTGATTGATTAATCGATTGATTGATTGATTGATTGATTGATTGATTGATGACCTGCCGCAGCAGTTGGCCCTGTATGCTGGCCCTGTTGTAGTCAATGAGGGTTGCCTTTTGGTCCCTGGAATTGGTACAAATTTGGTACTCCGGTGATGTATAGCCTTCCAATGGGCCCGCTAATAATTGACAATCCCGTAGCGTACAGAAGACACAAAAAAAAAAACAGCACCACTACGGTAACCGTCTTCACCAGAATAGAACGCCCGGTCATTATAGCTGTATTTGGCACAACTTTCAGCCCAGATACAGCGATAATTACCGGGCGTTCTATTCGGGTGAAGACGGTAGCTCAGGTTAAACACCAGTGTGTAACTGTTGAAATTCAGACCGCAGTTCAAATTCCAATCAACTCAGATGAGTAAATACCAAATAACCCTGAATTTACCTTCTTTTTTTTTTTTTTTTTTTTTTTTTTTGAAAGGCCCCATGTGCAAGACCTCCATCCTGGTGGTGGTAAGAGAACCACCAAGATTGAGGCTTGGCCTGGCGGACCCTGAATTTACCTTGGGCTGTTCAGTTTGACGATCATGGTATCTCAACGCCATAGCCGTTAAAATAAGAAAAGGCCCACAAGTGCCATTCAGGAGGTCATGGATTCAATCCCCATTCAAGTTGGCCTCATGTACGTTCCTAGGTGTACTTTGTGTCGGAGATCGACAGGTAGCCCGTTGCACCCCTCCCCTCCCCCCCCCCCCCCCAAATGGGCATGCAGTAGAGACTGCTGATGTTTGTAGGGGGAGGTGACCAGAGGGGAGGTGCAGAGATTGGACCAGGTGACATGGTCTCCGGCCCCTCACCAGTATAGCCCTCGTGCAGGTCGCATGCGGCCCACCACATGTTCTCTCGTGAAACAGGGTATGGCTGCTGCTGCAGGGTTCACCATGATAGCGTGTGTTGCATTAACGATAATAGAGGGCCTGTACCGAAAAAAAAGAAAGAAAGAAAAAGACGAAGAAGGCCTGAAACTGGTTGGGCCCCCAAGCCACCTTTCGCAGAGGCGGAGAAGATCTGCGCGCCAAGCTTCGCCGAATCAGTTATTTTTCCTGTTTCAACTGGCGCCACCAGCCATTTTGGAGGGTGGTGCACGGCCTCCACAGAACGCACTATACTGCATTCTTTTTTCTTTTTGCTTTTTTCTTTCTCTCTTTTTTGTGAATGTCCTGGGTGTAGTCGAGGGTGGCAACTAGGCCTCAGGGAGTGCCCCCGGTACTCGTCCGTTGGGAAGCCCTGATGGGTTGCAGGGGCCCTAGGGGATTACCTCAAAGAGGCACCACCTAACCTGTACTGATGCTCACATCGCAACTCATGATCTGCACCTGCGCTTACGGGACCTTTTTTTGTTTTTTTTTCTGCGCTGCGCTGCGTGCCGAATGCTAATGCAGATGTCTGCCCTAACACTGCGGTCAAGGATGACCCGGACACATACAGCGGTCATCCCTTTATCTGTGCCACATCCCTGTGGACTCTATTGGACAGCGAACTGCCCTTCCACCGAGATGCGATAAACCCAACCTCCCCACCTAGACATGGCGCCTACCTATCACGGTCCCTTTGGGATGCCACAACCACATACTGTTCCCCAACGGGTATTCCACTGTAGGATCACCTCTGTTTACGGGTTCTCTGTCTTCCATTTCCTTTTCCTATTTCTGCTACCCTCTCTACTTCTCTTGAATCGGTTAACTCATCCTGTTTAATTCTGTGTATTCCTGTTAACTCATCCTGTTTAATTCTGTTTATTCCTGTTTATTCCTGTTTATTCCTGTTTATTCCTGTTTACTTCAGTTCACCTCTTGTTGAGTCCTGACGGGTTTGCAAGCAGGCAGCTACGACCGATGCCCTGTGGAGAGTTGGAGGAGAGTTAGGCAGGGTCTGGGGACGGAGGGGATCCTACTGGTGCCCCCCAGTACTCCCCCCCATCACCCGGCCCGGCTGTAGGAAGGGTCGAGATGGGATTAAGATGGGATGCTGGACCCGGTTTCCAGCAAGGGTGTCATTCCCAACAATGTACTGTAAGATATGGGTCAATTATGGGATGCTGGACCCGGTTTCCAGCAGGTGAAGCTCCCCACCAATAGATGGAGCAGCCCGCCAGGCAAAGCCTCAATCCCGGTGGTTCCCTTACCACTACCAGGATAGAGGCCTTGGACAGGGGTTTCAAATAAAATTAAAAAAAAAAAAAGAAAAAAAAAAAGAAGAGAGGCCCCCAACCCGGATGAAGTGCCACCCACAGGTATCCTAGGATGCCTGTGGGATGAGAAGTACCTAATAACCATCCAATACCACCCCTCATTTTTTTCTTTCTTCCTTTCTTTTTAACAAAAAACGCCCCCACCAGTGTTAGTGGTGCTGATAAGAGCAGACACCACCAGCACCTGGGGAGAGGCTCCATCTATTGGTGGCGAGCATCACCTGCTGGAAAGCGGGTCCAGCGTCCCTTATACAGACTGAATTTGGAGTACATCAGAAAATAAAATTGTGGAGTGTTCCTGCCAGCGTTGATTACCCTGGGATCCGGCGCCAGATACACAGCAACACGCTAGTTCCTCACTCCCCCTGAGCCATACTGAAACCATACTAGCGTCTCCCTGCTGTTGGGCGTTTAGACTTCTGTTTTTTTTTTCAGAAAAGGTTTGCTTCCCCCCGAAACGGGCCCTTACTGTAGTCAGGTTTGTTATTTCGCATGGACTCCTGCAGCGTACCACCGTGACGGGAAACTCGAAGCGGTACCCAACTTTCTACCATGGTACCCCACATACTAGTGCATACTAACGAGACCGACAGACGGAGGGGTCCAAGTGGCCACGCAGAGGTGCCTGTTGTCACATCTCGTTCATTGTACTTGACAGACAATTTCAACTACATGCAGGTATGATTCATGTCAGTTCAGTCATGCACAGCTAATGTTCCCTACCCCCCCCCCCCCAACCCTCCCCCTATCCCCCCCCTACCTTCATTCATGGAGTCTCATCCAGATTCAAACACAGGTCTGCATACCAACTGAGATGGGCTGATGACGAAGGCTTCGAGTTTGCCTGTGAGAGGTGACGAAAAAGAAAAAAAAGAAAAGAACTCCCTACTAGTAAGCCTAAGGCCACACAGCCTTTGCCCGCTGGCCCCACACTCTTCCTCTGAGCCAGCATCTCAGCAGTTGGCTGCTATAGATTTTTGGAGATCGCAATGGCCATCCTGGCAGCTCGAAAAGCACATCCAGCTTGCTACCAACCACCTACCTACGCTGGATGTCACCCACCGTCCTGGATTCGGTTCAACCTCTCCAGGACCTCCCCCATTTTAGGTCTTCGTTTGGGGTCCGTTCTCACGCACTCCATCGCCAACTTCAGCACGGCGGCCATTGCTCCCCAGTCGAACCCGCCGATGCTTGCCACCTGAGGGTCCGCAAGCTCTTGCACTCCGTTCATCTTCGTGGAATACGCCCTTTTCATGCTGGCCTTCGATCTCAAGGGTGCCATAGTCACCACTCCTGCCCCTGTGTATGCTCTGCTGCCCTCTTCTTCGTCAGAGGCGGAGAGACACTCTAGGCTCCGAAGCGTTCTCTTCGCCCAGTATGTCAGAGTCTCGGGTAACCCCTTCGTCTCGTCCCTGGCGTCTTGCTGTTGCCCGGGCAAAATGTCCATTCGTCCAAACGCCTTCCTCCCGGTGATGAGCTCCAGCAAGATCACCCCAAACGCGTACACATCGTTCTTGTAGGTCAGCCAGCAAGACCTCGTATACTCCGGCGCCATGTAACCCATCGTGCCCGCAACATTGACCGTCTGGATTGTGTCGCCGGACTGTGTCACTGAGTACTCTATCGTGTCCAAGGTCACGAGGCCAATGTTGGTCACGTTTCCAGTGGGCTGTGCGCCTGCGAGCAGCGGCGGGGTGCTGCTGCTGAAAGCACTCTGCCCGAGCTTTGCCAGCCCGAAGTCCGAGAGGTATGCCCGCACCTTCACGGAATCATGATCGCCACCATATTCAAGCAACACGTTTTTGCTCTTGACGTCTCTGTGGATGACGGGAGGGTCCACCTCCTCGTGAAGGTACCGGAGGGCCTTGGCAACCTGCCGCGCAATGGAAATGCGCATATTCCAGCTCAAGAAGGGCCCGCGCTTCCCATTCCCATCCACATCCCCAGGGTTGGATTCCGGGGGTGCCCCTTGCAGACAATCGTAGAGGGTACCGCCCTCGACGAATGGGTAGACGATGAACGACTTGGACTGATGCGCGCCATACCCGATGATGATGCAGAGGTGCATGTGACGCAGCGTCGCCAGCACATCCAGCTCCGCTTGGAACTGGCGGAACCTGCTCTTCGAGAATTGGGCGCCTTTCATGATTTTGATGGCTACCTTCTGCCCGTCAGCAAGCTCCCCCCTGTAGACCTCTGCAGCTCCGCCTTTTCCAACAAGCCGCGACGGGCTGAAGCCGTCGCACGCTTTGGCGAGCTCTTCCCAGGAGTACTGCTTCAAAACACAGGACGGCCTCACCAGCTCCCCGGGCAGTCTCACCCATTGCCGGCCTCTTCGCCATAGAATGAGGATCAGTGTTCCCACAAGCAACGTCAGTGCCACCGTTACAGTTACTATGATAGCAAGGGTGACAGGAGAATGAGAAGGAGACCCGTTGCCCGGAGAAGGAGCGGGGCAGGAGGACAACGCCTCCGTTTTGACGTCGAGCTCCATGATCTGCATGTTACCCAGTCCTAGGTACAGAAGGGTTCCGTTAGGAGAGAGTGCGAGGGAGGAAATAACAGAATCGTTCGGCGACGGAGAGCTCAAGCTGGCGACTGTGGTCACGGCCAGCGCGTCTCCCCCGCTGTTCAGCTGAATCAATCTGAGTCTTCCGACGTACCCTTCCGCCGGCAGTACGGATTCATTTCCGCCCGTGGGCCCGGCATCGAGTCCCGGGGGCTCGGCAACGAAAAGGTTGCAGCCGTCCCTGGTGAGCGCCAGGCCCACGGGAGAATTGAAAGTCACGTTCAACGCCGGGCCGTCTTCCGAGCTGCTGCTACCGTTTCCCGCAATCGTGTCCACCGCTCCAGTGGCGGCGCGGATCCGCCGAATGCGGTGATTGAACATGTCGGCGACATAGATGAGTTCCCCATCTTCGGAGATGGCATGCGAGCTAATGAAGGGCCAATAGAAACGCACTGCGGAAGGCTCCTCGCTGTCCCTGAATTGCACGACATCCGGAGCGAATGGGGGACCAATCCAAGTCTCAGGCCCGATTACCGGATAACTTAGAGTATCGGAAGTCAAGTTCAACCTGTAGATAGCGTACGAGGACGAGGCATAGAGCACACTGCGAGCGTTGTCTATCGCCAAACTCTGGAAACATAATCCCTCAAAGCTTCCCTCAGGCGCTCCCGCTAAATACGGGAAAAAAAGATCTCTGTATCTCCCAGAAAACAGTTCCGCGCCGTTCACAGCGAAGGCTCGAAGAGTGAGGGAGCTGCAATCGGACACGTGAAGAATCCTCCCTCGCGACGAGTTGCTGCTGCCGCTCTGTGGAAATCCCGACCCAGCCAAGTCGGGATCCTCCATCGCCATCCCATTTGGCACGGTTTCAGTAGATGTGTAATTCCATGGCCCCGCAATTGAGGTAGCGTTTGCCCGGACGGGCCCCACGTTAACTGGGAGCTTGTAGATGCGGCCGCTCATGAGGAAGAAGAGAGAGCCATCCCGCGGTGACAAAGCCATCTCCCAAACATGCCGTTCCCCAGCGGGCGGCACCGGTACTATCGTATTCGGCGCAATTAACTCGGTACTGCCAGATAAAATCGTCGTGTTCAGGATTGTCAAGTTCACGGACAGAGCTTCCTCCCTCAGAAGATTCCCCCGCTCGAAGCCAAGTGATCGTCGGCCATCGCCAGCAGAGAATCCACCACCTCGTTGTACCCTCCTCGGTAATGACGAGGACGGAGGAGGGGAGAGAGCACACGAGGGAGATGCTGATGCGGCGGCTGCTGCTGCTGTAGCCGCCACCCATATCACGAGCAGCACAGATACGGCAACATCGATGAAGGGCAAAGAGAAGACAGCCATGGTTGTTGACAAGGGGAGGAGGGAGGGGGGGGGGGGGGGGGGTATCCCGTATCCTGCTAGCACTTCAGGAAGGAACTGAAGGCGGGAATCATGACGGAGCTCGAGACTGCATTCCCTCTCTACGTAATAATACGTACTTAGTATTACGCTAGCTAGCTACTCGTCCTCTGTCTTCGGTCTCTATGGCCTCGTTTTTACGGCAGGCGCCCGACTCCGTTCCCGACGCAATTCTTTTCTATGCTGGTGAAATAGCTCGACGACAGTACCGCCCAGATTGCGCAACTACGGTGTCGATGAACGGCCAGATAGAGAATTTTGCGGAATTAAGGAGAGATACCAATTATGGAACTACAGCATTATGATGTCAAACAGGGGCGGGCGGGGGGGGGGGGAGAGGATATAAAGAATGGAGTGCATGTCTCGAAAGACTAATCCAAAGCGGGCGCAAAATAAAAAGAAATAAAAGAAAACGGATAGAACTACGATACCGGCTCATCCCCTAGGAATAAACTTAGAGAGGGGAGTGCTTTCTACCACTCCCCTCTCTTTCATCAGAAAAGAAGGAAGTTTGTGCTCCTCCGCAATTTCTTGCTTTTTGTCCTCCCTTTCCAGCCAAGCAACTCCCAAACACGCTGCGGAGCGCGCACGCGACCCGCCTGATTTGTGCGCGTACACTGCAGTATTGTTACAACGATTGGCCAAAAGAAGCAGATTGAAAATCCCGACTCTAACAGAGTCTAACTAGACCCCGTGAAGCACAACATGCATCACAGAGTCCTCTCTCTCTCTCTCTCTCTCTCTCTCTCTCTCTCTCTCTCTCTCTCTCTCTCTCTCTCTGTGCATCTCTCTCTCTCTCTGTGTGTGTGTGTGTGAGGCACACAAAGGCTCACACTCAAACACAGCCCTGCTTTCCCTGTAAATAGTGCCCCTCTCTGACTCGGTTTGTCCGGCGGTCTTTCGATCTGCCGCACACATATGGCACGTGCTGGCACGCACGCACACACACACACACACACACACACACACACACACACACACACACACACACACACACACACACACGTGAGCGCAAGGGCTCTTGCACGCACACAGAAGTAAGCGAATTTTGAAGATGTACTTGTAGAACAAAGGCCATGCAATGGACGTCCTTTACTAGAATTACGGTTTGAACATGAGGGCACGAAAGCGAGACATCTAGTACAAGACCTACACTCAGCGCGAGAGAGGCAAGTGGCTCACTGAAGCCGTCAACTGGATTGGGAGAGAGACTATTTCGTGTCAGTAATTCTCCATGCAAAGAATGACGAGGAGCAGAAGAGAACGTTCCGACGTCCGTTCGAGTGCATGTTCCCGCAGAGACTGGCAAGATGCCTCTACGTTACTATGCACCTTGCCGCATTCTGGGGAAGATGCACTCGTACTTTTTTCGTTTCGACAATTCGTGTGGCGAGCCCCTCGCTTACAAGCGACACGTCACAACGTACACTTTCTGCCGATCGTCGTGGTCGACCCTTGTTTCTTTTTTTTTGCACAAATCAGGCCTCGCGAGTAGGAGGGGTGATACGACTAGCCTCTGCTACTAGGATGACGCCGGGTGCTCCATTCTATTGGCTGGGAGCCTCACCTGCTCGAAACGGGATCCAGCGTGTGCAGGTGCCATTTTGACATGGACTCATGGCAATTGGCCTGTATTTTTTTTTCTTCTTAAAACGGGCCCAGTGTCCAAGGCTGATATTGATATTTGAGAAAATTGAGGCCTGGGTCCTGACAGTCTACCTGGAGTAACCGGACAGAACATGCTGAGAACCGGGCCCAGCGCCCCTCAGATGATAATGATGATGATGATAATGGACGATAATGCAAAAGAGAATGATGAGCAACTGATTGGAGATAATTACTAAATACTAAATTAAATCAGGATGTTCATCTGCTTAGAACTCAGCTTCTTTCCTCTCCCCGATTCCTGGTATGCATACTTATTCAGCCAATCTCATTCTGAAGCTACGTTGTGAAATATAGCCATTTGTTACATGCTGCGCCTGAAACGAGGGCCATTTTCAGGCCCTGTGTTGTTTTCAGCCTAAAAGCCTGAAAACAAGGGCCTACAGGCCCTGTGTCGTTTTCAGCCTAAAAGCCTGAAAACAAGGGCCTACAGGCCCTGTGTCGTTTCAGCCTAAAACAGGGCCCTCCAGGCCCTGAGTCTTTTCAGCCTGAAACGGAGGGCCATTTTCAGGCCCTCGTAAGATCCACCTGCCCTGAAACTCAGGCACCAGACCAGGGTTTTAGCACAGGCCATTTTGGGCCTGTTTTAAAGACAACCTTTGTTTGCGCTTCAACGCCAGGGTCTGGCACRTTTTGGCATTGGCAAGAGCAGCCTCCTGGACGGGCCAGCAATATATAAGACTAGCCCGCCCTGCAGGCTTCAGGTAGTTCATAGGGACTTCCCAGGCACTTYACGTGCAGTTCAGGAGGYAGGAGGTAGTCTTCAGGATTCGGCAGCAGCACTCTGGAGGAGCGCTGCAGTAGTAGTAGTAGCGTTAGCAGTAGTCTTCAGCGCTGGGCGCTATTAGGAGCTAGAGTAGCACTGGAGAGAGATAGAGATTGGGCTGAGGCCAGGGGGACTTACCTGCAGCGCCATAGCTCCAGCTCATCGTCGAGGTACCTGCGGCACAGCGCCATCTTCACAGGTTAGTACCTGGCACATGAGAGAGAGAGAGAGAGAG